TAACCCAACCGCTGGGTCAAAACAACCCAATTGCTGAGTTTGTCCATATTTGACCCAGCACTGGCTTGTATTTAACCCAGCATTTCTTAAGAGTGCAGGGTTGAGAGATAATGAAAAGCCATTATTTATTAAAAAATGTAAAATAAATAAATAACTTTAGAATAAAAAGAATCCAAATAAAACAATTATTTAAAAAATATATTTTATTTGTTTACCTACATGTCATGTGACCATTAACTGACATCGGAGAACCATGAGCATGCAAATGTTTTGAAATATTAAATATAACTTCAAATAAATGTAAATCTCAAGAAAATAGTTTAGTTTAAAGGGATTTTACTAACAAAAATAGGTTGGGAATCCCTGCTTTTAAACAATTCTTTAAAAAAGATTTTAGTAACACTTTTGTACCGGGACCAATTCTCACTATTATCTAGTGCTCATTAGCATGCTTATTATTAACATATTGGCTGTGTATTTATACTTCCAAAGCACATATTCTGCACGACCATATTCGATATCCCTAATCAATACCTAAACTTAACTACCTTAATAACTAATAATAAGCAGCAAATTAGGAGTTTATTGAGGCAAAAGTCATAGTTAATGGTTTGTCAATAGCGAGAATTGGATATTAAAATAAAGTGCGACCAAGACTTTTGCTTTTGATTTAGTTTTTTAAATACTATGTATCGGACTCAATGGCTTTCATTAATTTCATGAAAAATAAAGGTAATGTCCAGCTCACGTTAATTCCTTTAGTCAACATTAAAATGTATTTGCAACACATTTTACTGCTGTAATGTGCAAAACAGAAAATGAAAGGTAGAGCAAGACTGTTATCCATCAGGAATTGATTGTGAAAGTGGGTGTTACATAAACCAATGAATCATTTATAATAAGCCCAATATAGTGGAGAAAATGGGGAGAATTGTGCAAAATAATGTCCCAAAAACCAATAACTGCTGGTAAACTGCCATAAAAATTAGCAAATGTTTATAAATATTCACATATTTAAAGAAAAACCTAGACCTACCTGTTAATTTCTATGAAGTAACCACCTTGCCATCTACTGGTCAAAATATGTAATATGAACTACAAGAGATATGAGGTGCACAGACAACTACACATTGATATTTTCCACAGTCCAGCTGAGAACATCTACATTTGCAAAGCAAGTTTTCACAGCTTGAAAGAGCAGAACAGTTAACACTCCTCTTTAGCGTTCGGTCATGGATCCTTGGCCATCTTGTGTTTCAGATACTTGATTTTGAGTGAGTAGTATTCTTCCTGAAGCTGTAAGACTATTTCCTGTCTGCGTAGCACAGACATCTCCAGATCGCTCTTTCCTGCTGAATCGGTCTCTGCTGTGTTTGATTGGCCGTCGTTTGCACGGTTAACAGGCTGAACGTCCAACACGGGTGCAGTCTCGGCTGGAATAACATATTTCTCCTCCTCCTCCTCTTCCTCGTGTGAGATTGCACTTTCATTCTCAGTTTCAGCTCTGTGAAAGGGCAAAGTTGTTAAATTAGCAAAATGGTGATTGTCAGATATACACCCAGGCTGAATTCAGTTCTCTTTCATGATCAAATACATACAAAATGATGTTAAAATACCTATATTTTTACCTAAATATTCACATAAACACAGTCAGTTATGTCTTAAGTGAATGTAAACGGGAGAAAATCGTATGTGTATCAATGTACTGGATTTGTGCATTAGGTCTTAAAGTGACAGCTGCCTAATATACCTGCTGCTGTCTGTGTCTTTAATGTTAATCAAACAAAAGACAAATAGTTCTCTGATCTTTAGTGAATACCTTTAGTAGCTTTAATAAGAATCAATGTATATTTAATTCATACAGTGAATGAATTAGGCAGTGTTTCCTTTTTACATTTGATTTTTCAATTTCTTACTACTGTTGAATAGAACTAATGTACTTGAAAATTGTAAATCCAAAATGTATTTTTCTTATATTTGCATCTTTGTTGTTATTTTTAAAAACAAAGATCATTATCAAGAGATACAATTACAAAAAATTAAAAAATAAATGACATTAACAGCATACAGATCGGGAATGACATGAGGGTGAAAAATCACTTCAACACATCTTTTAACATTTGAATCATTACACCAACTTTTGTTTTTTGCCAAAAAACATCAAAATAGGAAAATACAAAATGTCCACAATTTTGTTTATGTTGCTATTACTTATTCAAGATTATTATTATTAAACAATGTTTTTGATTCAATTCAAGTTTATTTGTATAGCGCTTTTCACGATACAAATCGTTGCAAAGCAACTTTACAGCTAATTAAGTTTCTACAATATTTATTTAGTGGTAGCTTATCAGTGGTGACTGACTGAAATAAACCTGAAACTTATTTAACCCTAATTCAAAATGTATATACTAATGTAGTTTTTTAATAATATAATACTAAAATAACTTTTTGACAACATTATCGTGCCGAGTTGGACACGGCGTATTGATCAGAGTGTAACTAGGAAACAAAACATGTCATCAGAGGTTTGTGCTCATACCCTGGAGAGTCGTACGGTGCCATGTAGCTAGTGCTTGGAAAACTAGAGCGTCCTTGGTTGTGAAGAGCATGTCTGTGGTAAGATGGAAGTGAAGGCAGAGATGGACGCTGAATAAACTCCTTTAAGAGGTTCCCTTGAAACTCCATCATCTCCTTCCACATGGCCATAAGACTCGCTCGCTCCTCCTTCTGCTCTTCTCTGGCTTCCCTTCGCAAGCGTTCCTCATACTCCCTCTGGTTTTGCACGTGGAGAGGTTCTTGATCTCTCACAGAGTCGCTAATGGAATGTTTTTTGGCCTTCTTCCTCACAGGTTGAGCAACAACTAAAAATATGAACACAATAGTCAGTTATGTACATCATCATTCATGTTCAGGTAAAGTAGGGATTCCCAAATATTTTTGTCACCCCTTGACTTAAAATATTTTCAAATGAATATTTCAATCATTAAACACTATGTCAAAACATATTTAATGATCACATGACATGCAGGCAAACAAAATATTTTAATTTCATTGTTAAAATTGTAACAAAATTTTACTAAGTGTTTTACTTATTTTTAAATTGACATGTTTATGATTTAATCAAACACTAGCTTTATATCAACTCATGAAACCTTGAGTTAAATCAACAATTGTCCCATTTTAAGCTACAAAGCATAAAAAACTGATGTCTGATTAGCAAATTTTGAATATCTTTTTATTCAAACACATCCGAAAGGACATTTTAAAACACTGTAATATTATAAAAAAAATGCTAAAAGACTATTTTATGTCTTGTAAAGATGATGATAACTGGACATTACCTGTGGAATTAAACAAGCAAAAAAGGTAGTATAACAAAAAGGTAGTTGCATACTGTTAACATTAGTAACATACTACATTGTTACAAGCTACTTTAAAGGGGTCATATGATGCTTTTTTAAAGATCATTATTTGGTGTAACAGAATATGTTGACATGCTTTAATGTTCAAAAAACACATTCTTTTTCAAATACTGTACATTATTGTAGGTCCTCTATGCCCCGCCTCTCTCAAACGCTTCGTTTTCTACAAAGTCCCTCCTTCCGACAAGCGCAGTCTGCTCTGATTGGCCAGCTGACCCAGTGCATTGTGATTGGCCGAACACCGCAAACACTCGTCGGAAATGTAACGCCCCTTACCATAATCATGAGCTTCATCTTTCAAAATAAATGTAAAGACAGAGCCTGAAAGGGGAACAGAGTCGCGTGACAGACACAGTGATGAAGCTGGTATGTGTTTGTGATGTGACACCTCCCCCATCCCCCCCTCTCTCTCACACACACAAAATAAAGTGCTTTTGCTTTCGCCTAGAAACACACAGCGTCTCCCTGACATGCTGCTTCAACACTAACTGCGGTTACTGAAACCCGCCTTCTTTCTTTGCGTGCACATTTGGGCGGCATTATGCAAATATTTCCACATAGTGAGGTAGATATGTGGGGGCGTGTTAGAACGAGCCGTTTTAGGGGGGCGTGGCAGAGTCTTAACTTTGATAAAGAATATCTCTTTGGTTTTGAGACTTTAGTCTTTGCAACTTCAGGGATCTTATCTATGCACAATCAGCTTGTAACTCTCCAAAGAGAAAGGAAAACTTGAAATCGCATCATATGACCCCTTTAAATAAAACTGTACGTACTGTGTATGGAGTAGTAAGCATAAAGTAGGTATTGAATTTGAAACAGCCTCCCCTTGACTTATTTGTTGTAGATAAAAAAATTATAGAACAAATTAACATGCAAATTCGGTGATTTTTCATCAACGTTTGCACAGCTTTTGTCTTGTATACTGCACACCGTTTCGCATACTATGTTTGTAGTACGCGAGATCCAGTGAAGATGCAAGTGAAGTCATGTGGCCATAAAGTAGCACATCTTTCTATTTGACACATTAATAACACACCGTCTGTCATGTCATCCGTCTCCTCTTCATGACCGACTGACACCTCGATGTCTGCGGATCTGCTCTCGTTTCTCGCGTCCTCGATGGATGTACTCTGGGGCTCTTCGAGTTTGACGTTATTATGAACTGTTAACGCGTCTGTGGAGCGGTTGCTGCCCCAGATGGACTTGCAGAGATCATAGTAATTCCAGTACACTCTGCCGTGGCCGTTGTTTTTGTGATGCTCGAGTATTTTCAGGAACTTCTGCTTGAGTGTTTTCAGTTTGGTGGTGACCTGTCGCTTGGTTCTGTGGATCCCTTGCGCCCGCAGAAGCTTTGATATTTCCGCGTAAATAAGAGAGTCGCGAACCGTTCCGCTGATTTGCCTACTGATTTCTTCGTCCTGTCGGATGTACAGCAGCGCCCTCGTCTCGGTGTCCGTCCAGTTTCTTTCTACTGACATTTCTTCATACATTTCGCGGCGCGGAAATCTTGGGAAATCACGTAAAGAGTTCATTTACACACAGCAGCATCAGTTGATTCTCAGCTCGCGCGTCACGTAGGCCTGGCGAGTACTTGACGTATGTGCGTCACTCGGTCTGAGCTTTGTGATTGGCTCAGAGTCGCTGGCCGCGGCAGCCCTCTAGCGTCAGTGCGTCCGAAAGTTACTTCAAATGTCATAAAGTGCTCATTTTCCCGTATGTAATGAATGGTACACCACCATGCACTTTATGGAAAATAACGAGAGATTTTGGACACAGTTATGGTTTTTATATTGATTTTCAATTACAACGTAGTAGACATATTTGTGACCACAAAATCAGTCATAAGGGTCAATTTTTTTGAAAGTGCGATTTATACATCAGCTGAAAGCTGAATAATTTTGATTTCTATTGATGTATATGGTTTGTTAGGATAGGACAGAATTTGGCCGAGATACAACTATTTGAAAATCTGGAATCTGAGGGTGAAAAAAAAAAAAAAAAGAAAAAATCGAAATATTGAGAAAATCACCTTTAAATTTGTTCAAATTGCGTAAATAAGAGAGTCGCGAACCGTTCCGCTGGTTTGCCTACTGATTTCTTCGTCCTGTCGGATGTACAGCAGCGCCCTCGTCTCGGTGTCCGTCCAGTTTCTTTCTACTGACATTTCTTCATACATTTCGCGGCGCGGAAATCTTGGGAAATCACGTAAAGAGTTCATTTACACACAGCAGCATCAGTTGATTCTCAGCTCGCGCGTCACGTAGGCCTGGCGAGTACTTGACGTATGTGCGTCACTCGGTCTGAGCTTTGTGATTGGCTCAGAGTCGCTGGCCGCGGCAGCCCTCTAGCGTCAGTGCGTCCGAAAGTTACTTCAAATGTCATAAAGTGCTCATTTTCCCGTATGTAATGAATGGTACACCACCATGCACTTTATGGAAAATAACGAGAGATTTTGGACACAGTTATGGTTTTTATATTGATTTTCAATTACAACGTAGTAGACATATTTGTGACCACAAAATCAGTCATAAGGGTCAATTTTTTTGAAAGTGCGATTTATACATCAGCTGAAAGCTGAATAATTTTGATTTCTATTGATGTATATGGTTTGTTAGGATAGGACAGAATTTGGCCGAGATACAACTATTTGAAAATCTGGAATCTGAGGGTGAAAAAAAAAAAAAAAAGAAAAAATCGAAATATTGAGAAAATCACCTTTAAATTTGTTCAAATTAAGTTCTTAGCAATGCATATTACTAATCAAAAATTAAGTTTTGATATATTCAAGGTAGGACATTTACAAAATATCTTCATGGAACATGATCTTTACTTAATATCCTAATGATTTTTGGCATAAAAGAAAAATGGATAATTTTGACCCATACAATGTATTGTCGGCTAATGCTACAAATATACCTGTGCTACTTATGACTGCTTTTGTGTCCAGGGTCACATTTTAGTAACAAAATTAAGACCAAAGCCATTCAATAAACGTGTTGAAATGAGCTTAAGTGGTCAATATATAAATACATAATTGATATCCTATCTCAGGGTCATTGTGCAGAAGTTGCACATAATTGTGCAACTTCACTTGCACATAATTTAAACTTTCAATTGTCAACTTTCTTATCCAACTTAGGCTTGTACTTGGATCCGATTCCTCCATAACACAAGTATTCTACATTTTTAGATCAGAACTGGAGAAATGAGCAAAAAACAGTGTCTAATCATATCTTCTAATGCAAGTGCAGCGTCAAGTCCTAATAAAGAAAAAATTCTTTGAGAATTGATAAAAGGTTTTATTATGTACATGCTAAGGCACTCACTGCAGAACTGACAGCTGATTGATCAAACCAACAATACAATAAAGCTAAATTACAAACAGTCAATGGGGGAAAAAAAGTACAAAAGGCATTATTTTGTGGAAAAACAATGCAGAGAATTATTTCTAAGCTTAAAATATGGAGTTCGTATAAACAAACATAAAAAGTATTTCAGAGAATATACAAAGCACCAACTGCAAAGAGATCAACAGTGACTCAGCTCCTGAAAAGAAACAGGAAGCAGAAGGCTTTTAGATCCACAACTATTCCTGGAAAAACTTACAGTGTGAGCATTCAAATGTAAAATGACACAAAATTGGAATTAATAGATTTTTAATTTAATAAAAATGTAACGATCAGTTATACTGACTATGATAATACCCAGTTGCATTGTGTGTATTTCATTGCATATGGACATTCTTCAGAACACCTTTTTTTGTGCTCCACAGAAGTCAGTCATACGGATTTGGAGTGACGTGGATGTGTAAATTATTACAAGTTTTTTAATTTGTCATTAAATTAAGGGAATTATTACTGTTGATGCTTGTGACATCCTGTAGTTTGACTAACCTTTGATGGGCTGCCAGTGAACTTGTACGTGTAGGCAGTACTGGGTGTGAGACTTGAGCTGTTTTTATGAGGAGAGACAAAGATGGAGTGTCTCTGAGATACACGGCGAGGAGAGAGAGGCTGAGCGCGAACCGACGGGAACGGCGATAACGGAGGAGCCTCCATCTTTATAGAGAAAGAGGGAGAAAGTCAAATATTTTTTCCAAATTTTCACAAAAAATAAAAAAAGGTTATTAAAAGACAATTTTCAAAAGAAACAAAGTAATACACCAACCTTGTTATCAAGTGTGGAATGTGCATATTTGAGAGCGAATGATTTAATTTTTAGCACATAAACAGAGTTGTAAAACTGGATGAGGTCTCCTCTTTCCTCTGATTCGCTGTCAGCCTCTGTTGTGTTTGCCTGTTCCGTTCTCTCATTGGCTGTAAACACAAACAAATAAATAAAAATATTTTAAAATGCAATAAAAAAATTTTTAAAAAAAGAGACTTTTGCCAACATCCAAATTAAATGGGTATACATTACACACACACATTCAAAAGTTTGGGATTGGTAACATTATGTTTTTGAAAGAAGTCTCTCTTCTGTTCACCAAGGCTGAATATAGTTTCTATTTGTATATATTTTAAAATGTAATTTATTCCTGTGATGCACAGCTGAATTTTCTGCATCATTAGTGTCACAAAGTATCTTAGTATTAAGTATAGTTTTTTGAACATGCTTTAATGTTCAAAAAACACATTCTTTTTCAAATACTGTACATTATTGTAGGTCCTCTATGCCCCGCCTCTCTCAAACGCTTCGTTTTCTACAAAGTCCCTCCATCCGACAAGC